GGGGGTAATGGGTCTTCTCTTGTTGAATAGTAATTTGAATCTGGACTGACCTGGAAATTCTGTCTGGAAAAGAACATGAGAAAGGACTTGGGTTTAAAGGTTATTCACTGTGAGCACCCAAGAATGATTAAAGGAAAGCTGATATTTTTTGATAACCAATGATTAAAGGACAACATATACTTGCTGGTGCCCACAACTTCAAACAAGAAAGAATGGAGTATTTTTCCCATGCTGCCTTCCTTTCTTGCCGATCTTCAGTAATCTCCCATTTGTCCTCGGTAATGCTCATGAGATATTGAAAAATGAGAACACAGGGTTCATGAGCGAACCTGCAATGTAATAAGAGATGATTAGCATTTTCTCCAGTTTGCACATGCCGCACCAAATCACACAATATCATCCTGCTCTTTTCCAGATTGTACGCCTTTAAAATAGTGTCTTCCACTTGCAGAACAATCAAAGAAAGCTACATTTTTCGGAGATTCAGTTTCCACACCTCCATTTTATCTCCTCTTTCTGGAAGCTACAAGTGAAAGAATTGTAAAATATTTTGCGCCTACCTCCCTCATTATCATCTTATCTCCCTTAGTTTGCATCATTTTAAAGTTATTTCCAGCTTCTTTTCTGCATAGATGCAGGAAATAATTATGCAGGAACTTCTACTTGTCTTGTTTGATTTTTCCGAATCCACCCAAATCTCCCCACTTTCGAAATCTAGGTTTCACAGATTATCAGTGACATCATCTTTTGGAGCTCTATGGATAGGCTATCTATACTTCGTAAGTAGCTTCTTAGCGAGGCCTCCTCTTTTTATGTTTAAGGATCAACACACTCTCCAAATTCATTTTTTTCTATTTAATATATATCAGATATGGAAAATACTATGAGACTGACTGACTCAAGAAAAGATACTATCAAATGCTATTGAAGAAGTTCCTCCTCTGTGATCCTGTTGCCCCATGTAATAATATTCTAGAAGAATTGCCCTGTGTCCGTGTAGCATAACTAATCCTAGACTGATGATAAGTACACACCCTTATCTTTTCCTCTTTAGAAAGCAATCAAATAATAGTCTAATAAATGGGTGTCTGGGCTAAATATCATTGAAGTAATTAACTTCTAGCTTTAGTTCTTTGAATTCCTTCTAGCACAAGTAGTTAACAATCCCTAAGAATAGAATCTTCTCTATTGCTCACTTTCTGGATGTGTTTTTTGGTTTTGTACGTGGTCAGTGAGGATTCATATAGTCGACCCCAACTTGTTTGGGACTGAAGCATAGTAGTAGTAGTAGTTGTTGTTGTTGTTGGTAACATCATTGGCTGCTGCATCACTTTCTAAGAATGCAGGTAGAGCCAGCCATCACTCATATATTGTGTTCTCAGACATCCTTGTCCAGTAAATTTACCACAGTCCTTAAATGTTATAAAAGTTAAAATTTCTTCCTGAACTTCATTTATCCATGCAGGAATATTTCGTCTACAATTTATGGAACCTTTGTTATCTTCTCGGTGAAACTCACTCTCTCCATGCAAATTATTGGATTTTGTGTGAGATTATCATCTTCACTATTGTGGATTCAAATGTATAGGCTGGGTGTTTCTTATATAGAGAGTTCAGTTCCCCGAGAAGCAGATGTTGATATGAGAAACAGTTTTCTCAATCCTGCAACTCCCTTAACTAGACAGCCATCCAATTCTGATGATGCTCTAGGTGGTTCTGTATATGATCCTGCATATTATTCCTCCTTGTTCGAAGACGGTAAAGACGAAACATATTTTTGCAGGGTAAGCAGCTCACTTTGGCGCTTTCCTTCCTCTCTTTCTTTATCCTTTTATATGTAATATGAATTTGTCATGTTTCAATTGCTTTGTATTGTCTTAGTAAGTGATGTGGACCTTGAATTTGATTTGTTTCAGAAGTATTTGAACTCTCCATGACTTATTCCTCCAACTTGTTTGCTTTACACATTTACAAAATGTATAAAACGTAATGGATGTGGAAACATGATATAATTGGGATGCTGACCTGGTGACTTGACCGGAACAACTGCTGATCTAGTTACGCTTGACTAGAGGAAAATAAAGATGAAGTAAAGAAGAAAAATATTTGCTCATATACATAATGGGCTCATAGCTTGAGATATATGGTCTGGGTTTGGGGCAAAGTTGTCGGCTATAGAGTGCTATAAGGAGTATTATAATCTGCTTAACCTGAATCCACACGGTATATTTTTGTTTGATTTGAAATAATTAGCTTGATAGGAATACAAACATGTACTGCTTTTATATTACATTGAGGAATAGGTCAGATTACAACTCAACTCAACTTAACTTATTTGCTACTAGTTTGGGGTTGAATCTTGTTGATTGATTGGATGATCAATGTTCTAACTTATAAAGGTTGTTTGAATTTTGGGGGGATTGAGTCTCCTTTTTCACATATTAAGAATAGTCTTTTATCTTTGATCGCTTTTTGGTGCACTCATATAGCCCCTATTTGTATAAAAGATTGGGCGTCTTTTGTAGAGAATCATCTGATGTAAATTCTCTACTTTTTGGTATACTTCCTGTATACGGGAGTTCTCTCCCTTTTGATTAATACGTACAATTTACCTTATCAAAGAAAAAAGGTGGTTTGAAAAATGTTTAATATTTTAGATGAGCAAAACTTTTCAACCTTGGAAATGCGCATAATTTCGGGTCATTCTACAATATTAGCAACAGTTAATAAAAGAAATAATTTTATAAATTTGCAAGAGGAGATTATGAACTAGGGATATACACTTGATTGCCTTATTTTTAAAATTTTACCACCTTAACTTATAGAACTCCATTTCTTGATTGTCAAGGTATTTCTCTGCTAGTTTGTTTGATTAGAATTTAAACCAAATTCCTCTGTAATTTTTTTTGGGCTGTAAATCTTGGAGACTCTTTCCTATGGCATGCCGGTCTATTTGTTCCTGTATGAAGCTTCACTAAATTTTGATATACTTAGAAAAAAAAAATTACTCTCTCCAAAATAATATGAAATGATACAGCAGTTTATAATCGAAATTCCAGGAAGATTAAAGGAAAAAGGCACAAAAGCATAGATGGGAAGCGGTACCTTTTTCACTTATGTGGAATGTACGGAAGGATGGAAATAGAAGAGTGTTCGCGGGAGGTTTTGTTTTTGGTGCAAATGAGAAGTAATAGTTTTACTTACAAACCATGAGTAGAGGGAGAATGGTGCAGTAGTGGCACCGGTAAGCAGAAACTGTCTAGATAATAAGCTCACATGGGGGGTTAATCTGTGGATGGATCATTACAAGGGGGAGGCTCTCTTGGGAGCACCTATGATATTCCATTTAGTATAGATAATTAAATGCGTTTTTTACAGAATAATGTTTTTAAGAAGGTTTTCTAGTTTTTGTCAGAGGATTCATATAGATGACCACACCTTGTCTGGGACTGAAGAGTAGTTGTTGTACATTCCTTGGTGCTACTCCATCTTTTCTAAATTAAAATAAGGAAACATCTTCTTCAGCATCCATAATAATGACATTTGAAAAACAAGCTTAATAAGTATACCCTCTTTCCCAATATGGATGTCCTAGTTCAATTGGCTGATATAGGTGGAGACAAATTCTACTTTAAATAAAATAATTCTTTAGTTTCGCTTGGTCAGTGGCTGTCTGCAAATAAAATCACTAAAACTTAGCCTACTATCTATCTAATAAGATGCACCATATTCTTCTTACACTAAGGGACACAAACCAAAAAGGCAAAACCTTGAAGCTGCCTTACTCCAGCACTCCCAACTCCAGCGAACCAAAGTGGACATCATTCTGGGACATGACTTCCTCATGTACTCCGCATACAATAATTCTTCATAATTGCCACCACGAGTACAAATTCTAGAAGTTCCCCAGCTCCTTTTCATAATTCATATGTTACTGCTGCCTTCATCTTTTAGGTTCTGCAGGGGTTTAACTTTCCATATTGGAAATATCAGCCCCTTGGAGATGCTTTGCTTCATCTCCCTCTGTTCTTCCTACATTTGAATATTATCCTTATTTTCTTTTTTCATTATTTGCTGAATGTTGATCTCTTTAGCACAACGGGTCCCGTAGGGTTTTAAGATTCCATATTGGAAATTTCAGCCACTTGAAGATGCTTTGCTTCATCTTCCTCTTTTTTTCCCCCCTACATTTTGATATTATCCTTGTTTTCTCTTTTCATTATTGCTGAAATGTTGATCTCTTTAGCACCAACATAATCCTTCCTTTTTTTGTTATATTTTTTGAGTGACACAATGTTCAGTGGTTTGACATGTTAAAAAAGGGCAGCCCGATGCACGAAGTATCCCGGTTTCATGCAGGATCCGGGGAAGGGCCGCACCCTAAGAAGTGTGATGTAGGCAGCCTACCTTAATGCAAGCATAAGTGGCTGATTCCACGGCTCGAACCCGTGACCTTCACATGGAGACAACTTGACAGTTGCTCTAATGCTCCCCTTAAAAAAATGATTAGATTAGATTTCCGATTAAAAAAATATGATTAGAAAAAAAACCGTGACCTATGGTCTGACAAGTTGCATTGCTAAATTAGATTATAATTTCCGATCCAGAAATATGATTTCTCTCTATATGCTCCATTTTGGGACCGCGACTACAAAGAGCTGTCCCTGTTGGCTTTTGGGCCCTCTCATCGATATTGTTTGCCACCATCCATTCCCCATAGCCGGATCTTACGAACTGAGATAATCAACTTTTTGAAGGATACATGACATTATTTTGTATAAAAATCATTAGCATTATTTTGTTAATATGAAACAATATTGAAGAATGTTGAGAAACAATATACGTCCTTACATGTACACAATATTGAGTAAAAGAAAACCATAGAAAGTAGAATAGTCAGTTTGTGATAAAAGGGTGTATGTAGCACTAGAATTGAGTTGTATTAAAAGCCATCACCCTGTCGGTTGAAGCGATGAAGCGATAAGGAGGGGTTATCGCTTTGTGGTGAAGCCATGCGCTTCAGGGAAGTGTGCACTTCAAACAGTGACACACAAAGTGATCCTAACGAGAAGCGGTTGATTTTTTGAATCGTAATTTTCAGGAGTTTGGATCAATTTCAGCAGCATTATAAATTAGATACTAAAATTAGTTATATTAGTTGCAGTGTGATTATTACAGTACTAAATTCATACATGTTTGGTATTTTTTAATTTTTGAAACTTGCACTTCATTTCTCAATTTTCGCAACAGGCCCCATGGACCTAGTCATTTTTTCACGAATCTGATACACACTTCTATTATGTTGAAAATGGCTCATCTTTCTGCCCGCTAGAAGAATGAACACTGGAAGTCAAACTTACTATCTTTGAAGTTGATATTGAATATTGATTATAATTTTATATTGGAGATACTGTACGAATATTGCTATAAACCACATATTTTTAAGATTTATATGGAGTCAAACTTACTAACTTTCAAGTTGATTTTGGACGTGTAATTTTTGTATTGGAGATACTATATGAATAGTAGATAAATCACATATTGTAGATATAAGAATATTCGTGCACCGAAAGGTGTGGCCTAGTGGTCAATGAAGTGGGTGAGAACTATGAGGTTTCAGGCTCAAATCCCAGCGGAGGCAAAAAATCTAGGTGATTTCTTCCCATCTATCCAGCCTTGGTGGATAGAGTTACCTAGCCCGAACGCTACAGTTATCCCCCAAAAAAAAGATATATGAATATTCGTATAAGTCACAATATTTCCTTTATGGATGCTAAGCCAGTATCATTTGAGTATCTTGTCTAACTACATTAACAACAACAATAACAATTGTTCCTTAATCCTGTTAGTTCAGTTCGGTTATATGAATCTTCATTATCCATTTTCCTCCATTTTCCGTCTCATTCCTATATTTAATATGTAATGTTCTTTACCAAAAAAGGATTCTTTTCAATTTCTAGTAACATGCACATCTCTAAACTGACTAAAGGAACTCCTAAACATTGTTCATCTAGCAAATTTGCCCAACTATTTCTGGAAAAAAATAAATTAAAAAGTGCTAGATAAATATTATAAGAAAATCATGGTTGTGTGACAAAATGAGATAGGAGTAAGACACAAGATATCAAGGAGGAAGTGACAGAAATACTTGACATTTCGAGTTCCAGAACACTCAAGTCTTAGGGGGGAGGTAATCAATTAGAGGGATGTCCCATTACCTATACCAAGATAGACGGGTGATCAGTATAATTAAGCCTTATTTTCAAAAATACCATAAAGCTATATGATGAAATAGATTAATAATCATCAATAGAAAGCTGAACTGGAAGATTGTGTGCATGTTAGTTCTTATGCAAAACTTAAAGCATGATTTTCATAACTTCAACATTATATTTATTTAACTATTATGATTCAAATGGATTTTTCTATTAGAACTGCATGGGCCGTGTTTTTCTAGCTCTGTCGTTAACTGCTATATTTGAAGAATGTTTATTTGAATATTCAATTGTCAAAGTGAATTCCCATTATTAGCTACTAAAGATCTTGGTTCAAGACTGAAAATTACTAAAGAACCTTTTTTTCCTGCGGCGAAGCCAGTTAACTGTCAAGAAAATAGCGCTTAGTAAAATTTGATCTGTGAATTATCCTCGAGCATTAAATGATTTTTTGGACCAAACTAGATAAGGTTTTCTAAACGATATCCACAAAAAAGATCTCTATATATTTACTCCATTCGTCCTATTTTATGTGTTTGGCTAGGCATTGAGACTGAGAATTTTTTCAGATTATACTATCTCTTATCATTTGAATTTGTTTCAACATATTTGACATTTTAGAAAACCAAGAGTCATTTATTTACATTTTCCCAATCTATCGTTGCTCCAATAAATGATTTACTAACCTCTTTCCTATACTAGTCGTCAAGATTTTTGCGCACACCTTAAGAAAGACATTTAATAGCTTTAATCATAAGAGTATTTATCTAAACTATCCTTCATGTTTTTTCTTTTTAAGGTGGACATTATGATTCTTGAGATCTATTCAAACAATAGTTACATGTCGATTAAAAGATTAACTTTCTCTTGGTACATTAATCTCTCCCCTATCCAAGTCTTACCTTATTCAAGTGCCATCCATCAATTTTTACTTACCTCAATAAACCTCAAAGAAATTTAAATGGAGCAAACTTTCTTAAACATTGAGATAAACATGGACAAGATAGAGCCACCACATTTAATCAATTCAATTAGATTTAAACATGCATGTTGAACCTGGCAATAATTATGTTGGTAGACAACAAGTACCTAATCTAAATCACAACATCGATGGTCAAGATTAAATTTATAATAGAAGATGAATGACTACTGCTCTAACATAGGTGTAATTTACTTGCCTAGAAAACCTCTCCACTAGTAAATGTTAATAAGCTTGGATAATGAGTGATTAATGACTATATGGTGTGTTCAACATTCTAATGACAATTGAGAGATTAATCAGATAATTGTATAGATTACTTACTGGAGCAAGAGTAGATTTGCAAACAAATGCCTTTCTCATTTTCTGAATCTTTAAATATTCTGAAAGAAATTCATTTAGCCAAATTCGCAAATAATGTAGATAGGAGGTGGTACACATTTTTCTAAAAATCTCTCAACCGTCAATACAATCACTAGTTACTCATTTTTCAAGCTTATTGACAATTACTAGATCAAAGTGGGTATCTTCCCGAGCAATTAAATTACATTAACTTTAGATTAGTAGTCATTCACCTCCTATTATATATTTATTTTAAACAAAAGTTGATGCAAATTTGTATCTAAAAAATGTAGAGCCGAAAATTCAATATCTACAAATGTCTCAACTCTTGGAGAGTTTGAATTAAGATTAAGTTTAGGAACTATATAATACATCAATATTGAGATCAAGACACATGTTGCAATATAATCATTGTCAGGTTCAACAATCATGTTTAGATATAATTGAATTGATGGAATTTGGTAACTCAGTTTTGTGTCCATGTTTATTTGCATTTAAGAAAGTTAAGTCTTCTTTTATAGGATAGTTTTTTGTGGGAAATACTGAAATTCTAGTATAATAAAATATGTGGAGCCTCCCTCATCGGCTAAGGGATGAGGGACTTGGTCTTCTTTATCATGGTATCAGAGCCAAACCCATCCCAGTTCTTTGTTTCACCGATGTTGGGTCCCCATATTATTTGTCCATGCTCCAGCTGGTAGGCCT